GATACAACATACGTACTTCTCGACTTTTTTTTTTTTAATCTTAATTCTATATATGTATGTACATATGCTAGATGCGGGCACGGAGGAACTCGTCCGTCTATTATCAATTTCCTTTATCCTCATTTTTGTAATAATTCGTCTATCGAACGTTTCGGCGCGAAATGAAATATACCATTGTAAAAATTCCTTACTTTTTCGAATAGCAATAAACCTTATTTCAAAAGATAGAGAAGAATAAATCGTACGATTGCAACTGATTTTGTACACGTGACTAGGATCTCAATAACAAACAAATCGAAATGAACGTCGTACTAACGGTTTTATGTGACAATTTGAAAAGTAAAATTGCTTAAACGAAAAGAAGAAAATAAGTGTTTTATACCACGTCCGTAGACGTATTGCTCTAACGATTTAAATATCCTCGGTAGTTTGTAACTCACTTTTCTTTCTTCTTTTCACAGTAGTAGTAGTAGTAACGTCTCTACCTTATGTACACGAGTAATTTACAAATGGCGAAGTTTCGCCCGTGAATCTTTCCCCTCTAATACCAACGGCAACAAAGAAACGGAACAAGAAATACAACGTAAAGAAAAAACTAACAGAAATAAGAAAGAAAGAAAGAAAAGAAAAACGAAAAACGTTTCTGTATATATATATTTCTGTTTTTGTTAACATCATCAACGGTATGTTCATCGTCATCGATGAACGTATGCTTTATTTATTCATTTTCTGTATTTTGTTTTTGCGTGTGTCCTTAAATGCTGTACAGGAACATTTATACTTGCTTAATCGTTTAAATCGCTCGTTAGATATTTTTTGCCTTTTTCACTTTTGTATTCAATAATATTTTTAATATCCGTTAATAACCTACATTATTATAATACGCTTATCCTGTCGTTAGAGTAATTTGTTACACCTATGTTCGTTTAAATAATTAATGCTAATATCCCGTCTTTCGAGTTGTGGTGGCTGATAATAATAAATTGACTGTTACAAAAAAGGAATAATCAACGGATCCGAAAAATCGTTTGATCAATCAACTGAATTCGAAATCGTCTTGGAAAAAACAAACGACGCGACTATCTCGTTGTATATGCATGTATGCGCGTGTACATATGTGTGTAAAATCGAGGGTGCCCTTTTTGTGTGTAAGTGTACATCTGTGTCGAGATGTTGGAGAAGAGCGCGCAAAGGACCTTGGCCCATCGCGAATAATGACTATCTCAACAACGCGTTTCTCGTTTGCAATCTTAAATCTGATCGATTAACGAACTGTCTCGCTCTTTGAACGGCTTGGTCGGGAAAGTAGATGAAAGCCTTTCCTGGACGGTCATGTTCTTTTATTTTGTTTCTCTCTAGATGTAATCGAACTCGAGAAAAATAGAAAAACAATCGTAACAACATTAATAGTTATAATAATAATAAGATTAAACATTAGTAATAATAGTGAAAATAATAATAAACACAGACTATACGTCGACAAAGAATAAAAGTATAACGCGATTGAATAACCTCTTAAGGAATAAAAATTCGCAGTGAAACTAGTGATCGACAGAATAAATACTTCGTTCTCTATAATTTCATTTACTTTTTTCTTTTAACCTAGTCCCTGGCAGAAACGACTATACGCTTTGCGATATAATACTCTTACGTAAGGGTTCTGTCGCTGCTAGGTTTTCACACATCGATTGCACTAACTTGTTACTTTCATCCCGTCCGCTACTACGGTTACGAAAAAAGAAAAGAAAAAATAGGATAATAAAAACGTATAACAAGATAAACGTTGTAGTAAAATCAATGAAGAAAAAGAATATGTGTATGAGAAATAATTAAATACTAGTACGGTAGATACAGTTAACGTGCCTATCTATGTATCTATCTATCTGTCTATCTATCTATCTATCTATCTATCTATCTACCTATCCATCTATATATCTATCTATCTACCTATCTATCTATCTATCTATCTATCATCTATCTATCTATCTGTCTCCCTCTATGTGTGTGTGTGTGTAATTATTTATTTATTTATAAAATAAAATAAAATAATAAAGAACCGCGACACTGGCAAAGACAAATCGATCAATCAGTTATATTTGTCGCGAATGAGTCGGAAATACGTGCTTCACAAACAGCACACGTGAACGTATCCCCTGTTGAAAATACGTTCAAAACACAAAAATCATGTAATCGAAAGAAATGTAAAAATCGAAGAGTAGTGTACATCGCATTCGTCTTGCGACTGGCGATCAATATATGACTTGACTCATATGACTTTGTTCATACTAAATTTTTCCATTCACCGCGTATTTTTTTCACCTATGATTTATCGTGCAACATTCTTCAGTCCTCCCGAAAATTCTATTACTTTTAATTAAATATAATTTCCTCTGTGTGTGTGTGTGTGTGTGTGTATGTGTGTCATATACATTTTTTGTAACGATATTAATTAAATAGCGTTTATTCGTCCAAGAGTGTGTAGATTTTCAGCGTTACCCTCCGTGAAATGTTTCGTCGTTCTCTTTCTCTCTCGCGTCGTTCATTTTCACCTACTTCGATTTTTATTTTTTTGTTTTTATTCGTTGCAAAATCAATGCCTCCTGGCGCGTGTGCACGTACGTTTGATCGATCAACTAGAACGTGTGTGCATGCGCGCGATTATATCGATGTAGAAACAAAATATCAGCGGATTTCTTTTAGTGTATATACGAGTATAAAAAACTTTGTTATTCGTTAGTTGCGGGTCAGTTTTGTCTTTTCTGCGCGATCGTCCCTTGAAGTTCGCTGAATAATGATGTTTGCTGTTGCTACACTTCTGGTTGAGCAATTATTTAACTATCATGGTGCACGTGATTGATTGAATTCAATTGAAAATAATAAGTTAATGTGAAAAACAGAATACTATACTCTTTTTCAACGCAGATTCAAAAAATTACCAATCGTATCTTTGCGACAAATGCCATAATACACAGGTGAAATATTATTCTTCGCGAGCAAACAATATAAACGGAAAAATTAATAAATAAACTGTGACGGTACTTCAACAAATTATACGCAAATTTTTCAATTCCACACGATTAAACTGAAATATGTAAAAAATGTACAATTTCAATAAATAACATTTCTTTAATGCACAAATATAACATCTATCTAAATTGCACTTGATGTTTGGACACCTATATTTTAATAATTCCTCAAACATTTCATAACTTGTTAAATTCAGTGTATGAAAAAAATAAATATCAATATAATTTTTACACGGGAAGTTAATAAAACACTCTAAGTACTGGTACGAACAACAAAAGGGCTACATAATTTAATGAAGTGCTCCCATTGGTCTTAGCCAGCCTGTTTACGCGATACGAATTTCTTCGATTGCTTCGAACGAGCAGGAGTTTTACGATCTCATAATTCGGAATACTCTATTCCCATGAGATCGTATAGCTCCTAACCGCGTTTCCCTCTGTGTGCACAGTACGTGTATAATACATGTATACGTAATAGTTCCAAGATCTCGCGAAACATCCACCAAGCTTTCCTCAAGTTTCTCTCGCGAATATTCGCTTCTCTGTCGCGAAAACGTGTCTAAACTAATTCTCCCCGATTTCTTTCGTATCTGTATTTCATTCTCGATCAGCGCTTGCTTGGAAGAACGGAATAATCTCGAATAAATAAGATATTTGAAACTAACGGAAATTATGAACGAAAACGTGTGCCTTTGAATATCAGTTAGATATTTCGAGATTCGATGCTTTTCATTCGCTTTTAAGCGAATGTAATCAAACAATTGCTCGACGAAGGTTGGAGATTGAAAATAAAAGGTATCTTGAGTAGATATCTCGATAAGAGATAAGAATCGTCACCATAGCGAATTTAGGTAAAAAAGGATCGACAATTAACTTTCTTCAGTATCATTGACTCTTAAAAGTAGGTCAACAGCTAAAAATAAGTCACCAAAAACGTCCACGACAGCGTTCACGCAGTTCAGAGAATGTCGACGGTAACCCTACCGTGATAAACGAAACATTTAAAAAAAGAAGGAGTCGTCAAAACCTACAAACTTCTAAGTAACGAAATAATTCAATTATCTCAGAGAATCTGTAAAAAGGAGGTTATGGTTTCAAAGGTAGAGAATTGACAATGAGTCTAAAGATATGTATACTACTGAAGAATTCAGCGGTCGTTTCGAGATTGCATGATTCCTAGCGAGGCGGTCTCTCTCTCTCTCTCTCTTCCTCGCCCTTTCTTGGAAGTCGATGTGAACGAAGAAGGTAAGAAGGCAGGATTAAGGAAGACCTCGTGTACTGACACTCGATCGTGACGGGCGGTGTTTCGAGCGTCCTCTAGAGGATGTTTCTCTTGCTGACGTGACACGATTCTGCTGATCTTGGATTTCGACGACAACTTAACACATGTGCTCCCGTCAGGGATACTGCATTCTTGTGTTTAGCTAGTTTATGCAAACGGAACACGTAAGACACGTCTTTGTAAGCAGATAATCATTCGATCATGACTTTCGAGGCGTAAACTGGCGACTAAACGCGAAAAGAAGGTACAGTTATGGATACAATCAGTTAGAAACTGATAATCCAAGCTCGTTTATTACGAGTGAAGCTCGTGAATCGATGGAGGTGTTTTCATGAACGAATTTAATTTCGTAACGTTTCGTAAATTTCTTTTTCCACCTTCAAGGGACGACACGAGGAAGAGAAAGGAAGAAGGAAAAGTGGAACGGGCTCGTGCGATCTTTTCCTCAATTGGCGATACGACGAGCGATGATTCCGTTCTTCCTTTTATACCTTCCTCTTTGATCCGTTCGATACGCTCGCCTTTTTTCCTGATTTCTATCTGGCTTGACGAAAACCTACGCATCGGAGGAGATTCGCAGAGGAGGATGAAATAGAATCGAGTCGGTCCTTTCGATGTCACTGACGACGACGACGAAGACAACGACAACGACGACGAAGAGGACGATAAGGACGAAAACATGTGTTCCCGCTGATCCGTCTGTTTTTCTCTTCTTTTTTCTCGTCGATCTTGCTCGACAATCGGGTCGATCGTGAAACGGCAAAACGTGCGCTCGTGAAGCTTTTACTCGTTCCCTCCTAGTAGTACTATCGTTCTTTTTCTGTTTGCTCCTTTTTTTTTTTTGTTCTTTCTTCTTTTTCGTTTTTCAAGTTCTTTCCTTTCTCTGGCTCCTCCGTTACTCTGTCTGCAGGTTTCTATCTGCTCACCTCGTCGTGATATAAATCCGGTAAACGAGAAGAAGTAACTAGGGTGTCGCAGGTGATGTGATCGCCATCAGGGGCGCTGGAGGCAACGCGACCGGTATGTGATAATATTTACACTGGGGTCGCATGCACGCGCCCTTCACTGCGTCCCTGCACACGGTTACGCGATTCTCGATCACCTCCACGTTTCCTGGAAAAGTTCAAACAACCACCGGTTAAAAATATCCAAACCGATCGAAATTAGCGTAGACCTTAAGTTAGATCTTAGATTTAGGTTCATCTTGAAGTTTAATTCCGTTTATGTGTGGTATATAGTAGGAGTTAAACTTTTTCTGTGCTTTACCAATGTTCAACATAATTTTCCCTATACTGTACATGCAAATCCGTTTTCTTGCGTCGCCCCTTTCTTGCAATATTAAAGAACACAATAGAAATGCACAAGGCAAATAATCTAAGAATTAGAAGAAATATCATTTGTGTATGATAAAACCAAATACTGGATAAAACTTCTGACTCTCGCTACAATTGTTTTTAGGCAATTAAGTACTGCTACTCTTGCTTAATTACTTTTTGCTTAAAAAGTTAGAATTCAAGTTTCTAAAGTAAATAGACCCTTCACGATGAGACTTGCCTCGAGACGGGATCACATGGACCTACTTATAATCAGTAGTATGGACAAATTTTCTAACACTATTTCACTTCGAAGTCGTACGGATACTGACTGATTGTGAGTAAATAGGTCTCAACGCCTCACATGAGACCTCATCTCGAGGCATGTCTCGAGGTAAGTCTCATCTTGTAGAGCCTACTTAAGTTTATGTTTTTTGTAACTTTACTTATAGTCGGGGCCACGATATAGCGAGGTCGTAAAATCGGTCAGACGTCAAAGTAAACATGTTTTAGCTGCCGGGACCCGGCGTCAGGACCGTACGAAGAATTCTTGTATCCAGCGAAAGTCAACTGATTCTAATATACTTACTGAAAACTGCATGCAGCTAGGACAAATTAGGGTTTCTCCCTCTGGGGGAAGCCGCTTTTGGAAGTACGGTTACAGGTAAAGGTCTTATTGATATCTTTAGCATCTTAGTTTATCTACTCGTGTTATATACAGATAGAAAGTGCAAAAAGATTGTGTAGCTTTAATATTAACATATTTTCCATTTGTAAATGAAATACCATTTTCTACTTGAAGTACCAAATCATATGCTACCATTCGTTTATTGTTGGAACCCTCAAACAGATTGCAACACACGGCCTTGAGTGCCGCAACGTCAATCGGTGCCGATTCTTGAGAGTTTAATTTACGACTTCGCTATATCGTGGCCCCAACTATAGTTAAAATTTAAGAGTAGCTAATATAAACAGAGAAAGGTTTTAAGAATTGTGATTCAAAAAAGAAGAAACAAATTGTTAGCTTAATCTATTAAGAATTAGTTTGATGAGATCTCTTCAAGACCATGAAACACTATATGTAATTTGAATTTAATAATTTGAATAATGAATTTAATAAACATTAATTTAGATGAATTTTAATTTCCCTGTATTATCATACATTATGAAATATATAGAACATTAATTATAAAAAGGAGAAGAATCGTCCGATTAGTTTGTCATTTAAATAATACTCAAGTATTAACAGGAATTAGATTATGGAAAGCAAATCCAAATTTCAATCCCTTAGAATTTCAATCCTTTTGGGATACATATTGTTTGTATATCCGTCTGTAACGGTTGTATTTTAACTGTAACTTGTATTTCAATTGATAATCCACAATAAGATAAACTTAAATTAACGCTTATGTATTGCTGTTTTAAAATTATGTACAGATTTCAAAATTTTAATATTTTTTACAAATAACAATTCAAGTCAAAATATAGTGTAATTAAGAAAATATGAGTTACAATAAAATATATTTTTGAATGAATAATTTTAACATTATTTTAAAAGAGAATCTAAAAGTAAATTTTTTCAATTAAAAAAATTGATAATAGTTTTATTAGGTGTACAAATCGCCCGTCAATTTCATTATAAATGAAATAAGTCGTAACATAGTAAATGTACTGGAAAGTGTATTTAGAAATAAAATTTTAGTTTATAAACTAAAATATTTCATTTACACTGAAAAGATTAAAATTAACTTATTTAAAATTTTAAATTAAATAAGTTAATTTTAACTCAATAATATATTGAACATTAAAACAATTTTAGATAAATAAAATTATATAATCAAGTCATATATTCCAGTAATAAAAATTAAACAATAAATAAATTTATAATAAATAGTAATGTAAATGAAAATTTAAAATATAAGTTATAATAAATTATTTAGTACCTTTTGTATCAGGGATAATTAAACTCAAATATTTATTTTATAAATCTCGAATTTAAAAGAGCTATACGTATATGATTACTTTTGTTGCAAAAAAATTATTAATATACGTATAGAAATTAAATGTTAATCGATTTTAAATATATCTAGTTTTTTTAAAATGAATTTAATTCTTATTAAGATTAGAATAAAATTATTAAATAATAAAACAATTTTATAATCTTATATAAAATTTATGGGACAATCTATAATTTTAACTTTATAATTTATATTAATAGTCTGTAAGCAATTACAGAATTTCTAAGTGATACTGATTCATTCTCGATACAATAGTACCGGTTGCAGAAAATATTAAATTTAATATTTTTGTGTTACAGATACTTTTGACAAGTAACGCAAATTCTCGACATTTTCTCGAATTTCCCTTACAAATGTGATACGTTAAATATTTTAATAATTATTGATTATTAATGATTTTTTAAGCAATGTAAAGTCTAAGTGATTTTAATATCTACGTTTCAGAAGGGCAGAAAACTACGAATCTAACTAAATTGTTCTATCCGACAAAGTTATAACATTTCAGCAATAAACTTAGTAGAAAAAATTCTCATCCTACGAAACAATCTCGTTATTTCCAACTATGATCTACAATAAAATTGCAATTCTACATTATTATATCAAATAATTACAGTTCTCTGAATACTCCCGCTTAACGAGCAAAGTTGAGGATATAACACGGCTGTTAAACTTTCCTAGTGTGAACAATGTGTGCAAAACAAAAATGTCTATCACCAACCCAGCAAAAAGACGACAATATTCGAGAAAGATATTAGGAAAATGAAATAAAATCGTCATAAGAAGAATGTTTATAAGAAGAAAAATTCTCATCGTTGTGAGAAGAAGAAACGCGATTTATCGCATTTAGAATCGAGGAATTTACGGGATCGATGAATGAATAAAAGGCAATCCTATCGTAGTTGCTCACCCATGATTCCCCTAGTCTAGAGTTTAGTCTGTTTGTCTGTCTAGCTGGCTGATTACTAATTCAAAAGATAATTGTAGTTTCGTCGCTTCGCGCCAGAATTTGAGTATGTAGTTGAATTATTCTCAGCGAGATCGTGAAGCGC